GGATGGATGGATGGATGGATGGATGGATGGATGGGCACCTTCCTTAAGCCCCTTGTCTCTTCTCTCCCAGTGTTTCGAACCTTGGTGTCCCAAATCCTGGACCGAGCAGAGCCTCTACTGTCCTCCGGCCTCTCCTCAGAAGTCATCACTGTGTTCCAGTATTACAGTTTCTTTACCAGCCACGGTGTGAGTGACCTGGAGACTTACCTGAGCCAGCTGGCCAGGCAAGGTAGGACAGGGTCTCCTGCTGTGCTGCAGTGGTAACTCCGTCTGGAGTCAGCTCTGGTCTTCCCAGTCAGGATCGTTAGTGACGGTCACCTCCATGGTGAGCTGAGACTTGCCTGTCCAGTGACTCTGGACCTTTAACTTTAGTAAGCGTCCGGTTAGTGCCATAGGGAATCTAAGCACACTAGACCAGGGGAGCAGAACTAGAGACTGCAGGATCTCACACACGCTAGACACACACCGTACCTTTGAGTTTAGTCCTTATTCCTTATAAAGCACTATAGCTTGTTTTTAAAGCGATGTGATTTGTTATTATTAAATAATTTAAGTTTTATTAGTTTTATATTGTCTTTATATTTGAATAGATACCCATGTATGCTACTGTGAAATGTTCCCTGTGATTTGTTCACTTGACTGTTACTTAATACTCACGCAGGGATTTTCACTGGAGTACTGACTTACAAAGCAGTAAAACTAACAGACATCCACAGTGAGGAAAATGGGAAATAAAAGCCAAAATATCTAGATGATTCACCATGTAAAGGGTGCTACTGTTATGAAGAGTGAACTTAGCTTTTATTTTCCCATCTGTCACTGAGCAGACAAGATCTCATCCTGCTGGCCATCTAGTTCAGGGTTAACTACATTTTTATTCAGGGAACACGGCCAGTTTGTCACAGTGGGACTCCAGTTTGTATCAGCCCCACGTTCCAATCATCGCAGTGACACTCCTCATCCAAGCCTGGCTGCTTGGCCTAGGATTAGGGTTTTGGCAGATACTGTGATTGAAACACAGTGTGTTTACTGCGGCTGTGTTAGGAAGTGGTAGAAAATGTTTCTTTTTTTTCTTTTTTTTCTTTTTTTTTTTTGCCGGTCCTTTTGAGACAGGGTCTCCCTGTAGCCCCAGCTGTCCTGGAACACATTTTCTTCATTCACTGTATATTTTTACATGTGAATAGTTCACCTATATGGTATTGGGTATGGTGATGAATGCCTATAATCATGGCACTTGGGAGTTAGAGGCAGGAAGATCAGGAGTTCAAGATCATCCTTAGCTACTGAGCAAGTTTAAGGCTAACCTGGGTTACATGAGACTCTATACCAAAATTAAAATAAATCAGAGCTGGCTCAGTGGTTAAGAGCACTGACTGCTCTTGCAGAGGATCTGGGTCCCAGAACCCACATCAGGTAGCTCACAACCACTTACAACCCCAGCTCCAGGGAATCCAACACCTTCTGACTTTATGGACACCTGCATGCATGTGGTGTACATTAACTTATGCAGACATACATAATATAATAAATAAATCATCTTTTAAAAATCATCTATATATTTTTGCCACCATTTTAGGTTAGAAATTCAACTTTACATTTTCTGTGTAATTTGCCCCTCAGCTTAGCAGTTATTTGAATAATCTCTTCTTTTCACACTAATTTGAAATATCACCTTTATCATAGACTAATTTTTCACATACACTGGGGTCTGTTATGCATATGCTTTTACTAAAAATATACATGAAGGGACTGGAGAGCTGCTCAGCAGTTAAGAGCACTGACTGCTCTTGCAGAAGACTCAGGTTCAGTTCCCAGCACCCACATGGTAGCTAACAACCATCCCTAACTCCAGTTCCAGATGCTCTCTTCTGACTTCTGTGGGCACTGCAGGACACGGGTGCACTTACGTACATGCAGGCAGAACACTCATACACATAAAATATAAATAAATAAATAATTTTTAAAGAAATAAAATTTATTTTTAAAATATACATGAAATGCTATTTTACTACACAAATCATACATGTTTAATAGAAAATATAAAGCATTAAGTAAAAAAAAAAAACTCACTGTTTAAATCACCTCCTTTAAATAGTCTTAACGCTCATGACGTTAATGAGCCTGCCAGTGCACCCACCGTGAGAATGTCTCCTTCTTGCCTTTCAGTCGCCATGGTTCAGAATCTGCAGTCACTTAGAGATGAGAAACTGCTGCAGACCATGAGCGACCTTGTACCCAGCAACCTCTCAGCCCAGCAGGAAGTCCTTAGGACCCTGGCTCTGCTACTCACCAGAGACAACGAGGTCAGTGAGGCCGTGACCTTCTACCTCGCCACTGCCTCCAAGAACGAGCGCTTCAGGGAGAAGGTGTGTATTACTTACTTACCTGCTGCTACCACAAACAGCATGACCAAGTAGCCTAGAGAAGTAAGAGTTTATTGGGCTGCGGAGCCAAGAGGGGTCAGAGTCCACCATGGCAGGAGGCCTGGCAGGAGGCAGCCAGAGCAGGCGGCTGGGCACTGACATCTTCAAGCGGGCACAGGAAGCAGAGAGACAAACTCAAAGTGGGGTAAAGCTATGAACTCAGAGCCTGATGAGCCTTCCTCCAGCATAGCCTCATCTCCCACACAGCAACACTAATGACCAATTGTTCACATACTTGGAGTCTATAGCAAACACTTCTCCTTCAAACAGCCACAAGATGGGACAATAAATCGTGGCCATCAAGCCACAGGCTTGTCTAATTTTCTACCATTTACTATCAGCATCCAGGTGGGCTTGGTGGCTCATGCCTATGATCCCAGCACAAGCGGGAGGCAGGAGGATCACAGAGCTGGAAGCCTGGGTGCAGCTCACAAACAGATGTTAGAGGACGAGTCCTGGTGTTCCCATTTATACCATTTTCTTTTTTTTCCTTTTTTTTTTAGTCTTTTTGAAACAGGGTTTCCCTGTAGCCCCAGCTGGCCTGGAGCTCCCTATGTAGACCAGGCTGGCCTTGAACTCACAGAGATCCGCCTGTCTCTGCCTCCCAAGTGCTGGGACTACAGGAGTGTGCCACCACACCTGGCATGATTTTCTTTTTAAAAAATATTTTTATTTATTGCCAGGCATGGTGGTGCATACCTTTGGTCCCAGCACTGAGGCAGAGGCAGGCAGATCTCTGTGAGTTCAAGGCCAGCCTGGTCTACATAGCGAGTTCCAGGTCAGCTGGGTTTACAGAGAGACCCTGTCTCAAAAAGACCAAAATAAAAATAAAAATATCTTATTTATTTTTATTTCATGTGTATGAGTGTATTGCCTGCATGTAACTGCATACATTCATGTCATGCAATGTCCACGGAGGTCAGAAGAGGGGGTCAGATTCCCTGGACCTGGAGTTATGGACAGTTGTTAGTTGCCATGTGGGTTCTGGGAACTGAACCCAGGTACTCTACAATAGCAGCTGGTGCTCTTCCCGCTGAACCATCTCTCCAGCCCCTAAATACCCAAACTTTACAAAAATTTTAAATCCCAGCACCCACATGGCAGCTAATAACTATCTGTAACTCCAGTTCCAGGGGATCCAACGCCCTCTTCTGACCTCCATGGGCATTACATGACACGGGTGCACTTACACATGCAGACAATACACACATACACATAAAATAATAAAATTAAAAATTTTAAAAAAAGAAATGAGTGTGAGGCAGTAGAAACACGGAGGACAGATCTGATCACACACATGGTCTTATTATGCTCCCACCCATAAATTCATATAAATGTGTCAATTAAAATAAAAATGGTGGGCTGGAGATATGGCTCAGCAGTTAAGAACACTGGCTGCTCTTGCAGAGGACCTGGGTTTGATTCCCAGCACCCACATGGTGCCTAACAACTGTCCGTCCGTAACTCCAGTTACGGGATCTGATTCCTTCTTCTGACCTCCTTGGGCATTGCATGACACCAGTGCACTTACATACATGCAGGCAATACACTCAAATACATAAAATAAAAACAGTAACTATTTTAAAAATAAATAAATAAAAATGGTACCAGGTGTGGTGACACCTTTAATCCCAGCACTCAGGAGGCAGAAGGAGGTGGATTTCTGTGAGATCGAGGCCAGCCTGGTCTATGTAGCACATTCCAGTCCATCCAGGGCTATACAGTGAGACTTTGTCTAAAAAAATAAAAATGGGCTGGAGAGATCGCTCAGTGGTGAAGAGCACTGACTACTCTTGCAGAGGACCGAGGTTCAAGTCCTAACAATGGTCCGTAACTCCAGTTCCAGGGGACCTGACGCCCTCTTCTGACCTCCATGGGCATTGCACGACATAGGTGCACTTACATATATGCAGGCAATACACTCATACACATAAGATAAGATTAAATTTTAAAAAGGTATGATTTTAAGATAAAAACCAGCAAAGGCAAAGAATTGATCACTAAACTAAACCTGTACATAACTCCGTACCTTCCAGCTCTTGAGTTTGTTCCATGGAGTTCAAGACCTGATAAGACATACTGATCTAGTCACTGCATAAACTGCTTGTGAGTTACAGTAGATTCTTTTCTTACCCTGAAAACCGTGTGGAATGCCAAGTTTGGTGATCTGTTTATCTCAGGGAGTGAAAATGACTTTCCTTCTTTTATAAATTATTTTTAACTAGTTTCTTAATTTTTTATTATTTTTAGAATACAAAAGAATAGATTTCATTATGACTCTTTTTTTTTTTTTTTTTGGTCTTTTTGAGAAAGGGTTCCCCTGTAGCCCCAGCTGTCCTGGAACTCACTATGTAGACCAGGCTGGCCTTGAACACAGAGATCTGCCTGCCTCTGCCTCCCGAGTACTGGGATTAAAGGCATGCGCCACCACTTTTATTCATGTTTTATTGTACATCTGTTCTCTGACAACTTCATACATGTGCCTGGTCCATTCTTCTGGCCTCACCCCCTTCTCTCTCCCATCTCTGGTACCCACTCCCCTACACGTCTTTTTGTTTCATGACCTACTGATTTTAAGCACAATCATCTGTGTGACCAGGGGTTTGAAGTGCCCATTGGAGCCTGGTAGACTCACAAATAGTTCAGCAGGAAGGTTACAGAGCGCCATGAGACCCTCCCTGATCTATGCCTGGCAGGCCCAATGCAGAAAACCACGGCTGTGGTGGGCTGTGTCTCAGCGGCTGTGTCAAGCTCAGGAGACAGCATCTTGCTGCCCTTCTGTTACCCTTCCGGCTCTTACATTCTTTCTGCCCCCTCTCCTGTGATGTTCCCTGAGCCTCGGGGCATAAATAACCTCTTTAGACCTGAGCACTCGGCTGTCATTCAGCACTTGGGCCACCACGAGTTTCTGTGTTCACCTTGGCTCACTGTGCGGCCGGATGTGGGCGGGACTCACTGACACATTCTCGCTGACATATATCATTACATGTTGCTCATATTTACCCCTCCACACTCCCCCTCTCCTTCCCTTCAGTCTCCTCTTCCCTCCAAACAGTCCCAGCTTCTGCTACCTTTGAAAGTGGGCATGGTGGTGCACACCTATAATCCCAGCACTCGGAAGGCAGAGGCAGGAGAATTGCTGCAAATTTGAGGCCAGCATGGTGAGTTTCAAGCCAGCATGGTCCACACAGCAAGTTCCAAGACAGGCCAGACTACATAGTGGGATTTTACCTAAAAAATAGCAAAATCTGTATTCCGCACATGTAATATTCTCTCTCCCTCATCACCCACTTTGGTGTCTGTCTTACATCCTGTTTAAGTGGTAAACACTTCAAAACGACTCACAGCATCTCCTTCTGCCCCAGGCTTTGCTGTATTACTGTGAAGCACTCACCAAGACTAATCTCCAACTGCAGAAGGCAGCATGCCTGGCCCTGAAGAGCCTGGAGGTAAAGCCCAGCCTCAGAGCCCCTCACCCCTGGCCAGACTCTGAGCCCCTCACCCCTGGCCAGACTCAGAGCCCCTCACCCATCTAGACTCAGAGCCCTTCACCCCTGCCCAGCCCCAGGCACCACACCCCTGTTAAGGTTTGAGCCAAGCCACGTCAATGGGCTGTGGTTGCTTCCCTCTGTACCTGAGCCGCCTCTTATCCTGTATTCTGTCTCCTTACAACTGCATGTTCAGGGTCTTTTTCCCCTTTAACAGTGACTGCTGTGACTTTTTGTTAAGGTCAGAAAATAGTAAACAATTACAGTTTACCATCATCTATGGGTATCAGTGTGACTTTGGGTTAGTTAGAAAAATATTTTATCCCAAAAGAGAGGTGATATGGTGATCTCCCCAGTGTTTATTGAGTTGTTTGGTTTTTACATGTTTATTTGCTTTGGATATTCTCTGGGATCTAGAAGGACACGTCATGTGGCCCACTTCACTCCCTTGCTGGCTGTGTGCTCAAAGCACTGGACTATAAGAAATCAGAGCCTGGATCTTGCCGAGTCCCAGGCTCTCCTGTGTGCTATGCCTGGTCAGGGTTATCTCCCGGCTATCACTGAGGGCTCACCAGTCTGTGCCCTGTTTAAAATCAAGAACACAAGCCAAGGGCTGGAGAGATGCTCAGTGGTTAAGAACACTGACTGCTCTTCCAGATGAGCCAGGTTGGGTTCCCAGCACCCACATGGTGGCTAACAACCATCCTTAACTTTATTTGATGCCCTCTTCTGGCCTCTGTGGGCACTGGATAGTGTGTCTGGAGTGGCCCTAGGATGTTGGACTTTTGAGAGGGTTCCGTAGTTCCTCCTGGCATACAACAAGATATGGAACCCCTAAACAAGGTTTTTAAAGTTCAACAGATAGCAGTTCCTAGGAGATAAGTATTTTAAAAGAGGAACTTGAAAATATCAAGGAGATTGGCCATGTGCCCTGGCTGTGCCTGGCTCTAAGCTGGACAGGGTGCACAGGGTGCTCAGTAAGTCTGGCATATTGGCACAAACCTGTAATAACAGTGCTTGGGGGGCTGGAGAGATGGCTCAGTGGTTAAGAGCACTGAGTGCTCTTGCAAGAGGACCCAGCCTCAATTCCCAGCACCCACATGGCTGCTATGAACCGTCCTTAACTCCAGTTCTAGGGGAATCCAAAGCTCTCTTCTGATCTCCGCAGAATTGCACGACATGGGTGCACTCACTTACATGCAGGCAATACACTCATACACATAAAATAAAATAAATTAATTGATTAAAAAAATAATAACAGCATTTAGGAAGTGGAGGCAGGTGGATCAAGAGTTCAAGGTAACCTCAGCTAAATAGACAGTTCAAGGCCAGCCTGGGCTACATGAAAACTTGTCTCAAAATATTTATTTTTTATATTATATTACAGATATTACATAGTGTATGTATTTTATTAATATTTACATTGTATTAGTCACTTTTCTGTTGCTGTGATAGAAACACTGACCCAAGCAATTTATAGAAGGAAGGGTTTATTTGAGCTTACAGTTCCAGGGGAATTACAGTCCGTCATGGCAGGGAGGCATGGTGGCTGGAGGTGGCTGGAGCAGGAGCAGCAGAAGCTAAGCTCTCACATCATCACACAGGCACAGGAAGCAAGAGAGTGACTGGAGATCTGGCAAGGCTTAAGAACTCTCTAAGCCCACCCCCAGTGACGTGCTTCCTCCAGGATGGCCACACCTTCTAAAACCTCCTAAAACAGCGCCACCATGTGGGGACAAAGTGTCCAAATACTTGGCGCCTACAGGAGACATTTTCATTCAAACCACCACATACATATAATACATATTTTTCAAATACATATATTAATATATGATATATACATGTTAATATGTAATAGTATATATTTGTTTTATCATATATATATACACTATATAATAAACAAAATAACCCCACAAAGTTCCAGCTTGTGATGAGCTACTAAGTTTCCTGCAAGCCCAGCTCTAAGTGACACTGATCTGTTTTCCCCTATAGGCCACTGAAAGCATTAAAATGTTGGTGATGCTGTGTCAGTCTGACACTGAGGAGATCAGAAATGTGGCCTCAGAAACCCTCTTGTCCCTGGGTGAGTTGTTTGGTTTTTCACATGTTTATTTGCTTTGGATATTCTCTGGGATCTGCAAGGACATGTCATGTGATGTGTGCTCATAGCACTGGACTATCAGAAATCGGAGCCTGGATCTTGCTGAGTCCCTGGCTCGCCTGTGTGCTCTGCCTGGTCAGAGTTATTTCCCGGCTATCACCGAGGGCTCACCAGTCTGTGCCCTGTTTAAAATCAAGAACACAAGTCAAGGGCTAGAGAGATGGCTCAGTAGCTGAGATCACTGGCTGTTCTTGCAGAGGACCCAGGTTGGGTTCCCAGCACCCACATGGCAGCTAACAACCATCCTTAACTCCAGTTCCAGGGGATCTGATGCCCTCTTCTGGCCTCTGTGGGCACTGCATCTATGTGGTACACTTACATACATGCAGGCCTGTGGTGGTTCACTCTGGTAACTCCAGCACTGAAAAGTCTGAGTCAGAAGAATCTCCTCAAGCTTGAGGTCAGCCTAGGCTCCATAATAAGACTGTCTCATAAAAATAAAAACCAAGACCCAAGAATCTGGAACGGAGAAGTCAAACAGGGTCACAAGAAATCCAGGCCTGGCTGCCAAGTGGGGTTGGCACAGCAAAATCAGGCACCTGGGACCCCCTGCAGTGAACGCTGTGCACCCCAAGTGCCTCATTCATCCCGGGGTGACCTCTGATTGTCTGCTGCCCTGTTCTCCCCTGAGCCCTGACACCAAATAGCTGAAGGTGTTGTTTGATCTGGACTGTCCAGATGACCCTCCCCCTTGGCTCTCAAAGGGCTGTGCCTGCTGTTTCTTTTATTTTGGGTGGACTTGGAAGGATGAGGGAAGGAAAAAAGTCTCTGCTTTTTCCTTTTTTTTTAAAAGACAAGGTCTTAGCCGGACGTGGTGGCACACGCCTCTAATCCCAGCACTCGGGAGGCAGAGGCAGGCGGATCTCTGTGAGTTCAAGGCCAGCCTGGTCTCCACAGTGAGTTCCAGGACAGCTGGGGCTACAGGGAGACCCTGTCTCAAAAAGACCAAAAAAAAAAGTCTTACTATCCCAAACAGCCTTGAACTCACTAAGTACCTTAGAATGACCTTGAATGATCCCCCTGCCTCTACCTCCTGAGAGCAGAGATTGCAGGTGTATGTTACCACGCCTGGATTATGCAGTGCTGGTGATCAAACCCAGGGCTCTGTACCCCCTACCAACTGAGCCACATTCCTAGCCCCCAGGAAAGCCTTTTCTAACTCTGCATAAAAATGGACAGTTGTGCTGGGCATGGTGGCGCACACCTTTAATCCCAGCACTCAGGGAGGCAGAGGCAGGCAGATCTCTGTGAGTTCCAGGCCAGCCTGGTTTACACAGTGAGTTCCAGGACAGCTGGGGCTACAGGGAGACCCTGTCTCAAAAAGACAAAAAAAAAAAGGACAGCTGTTGCCTATAATCCCAGCACTTTGGGGAATGGGGATTGAATTGAGGGCCTCCCACTTACTAAGCAAGTGTTCTACTGACCAAGCCAGATCAAGCCCCTTTAAAAAAAAAATTATTCTGAGACAGGGTTTCACTAAATTGCTGCCTGAATTGATGGTGAGTCTCCTGCGTGTAGGGAGGATTACTGGGCCTGGCTTTTATTTTTTTTTTAGACAGTCTTTTGGTATCGCCAAGGCAGGCCTCGACTCTCTGTGGAGCGTGCAGGTAACCGCTGGTTCATCTGCAACCCTCGGACTCCTATTTCTTAATCAGTTTTTTTTTTTTTTTTTGGTCTTTTTGAGATAGGATCTCCCTGTAGTTCCTGCTGTCCTGGAACTCACTATGTAGACCAGGCTGGCCTTGAACTCACAGAGATCCACCTCCTCTGTCCCCCAAGTGCTGTTAATTGGGTTTTTTTAAATAGTAACAAAATGGTGCTGCCATGAGGTTCTGGAGAGATGGTGGGGAAGCAAAACTGCTGGCTACACAAGTCAGATGACCCGGCTCCATCCTCAGAGCGCGTGGGAAGAGATAGGTGCTGGAGTGCACGTCTGTAATCCCAGCACCCTGCAGTGAAAAGGGCAGTGAGGACAGGAGAGTGACCCAGCTCAAGGACAAACAGGCCTGAAGTAGACAGGACACCAGAAGAACAAAGAGACACTGCCTCAAAGTGGGATGCTGGAGTGCACATCTGTAATCCCAGCACTGCAGTGAAAAGGGCAGTGAGGACAGGAGAGTGACCCAGTTCAAGGACAAACGGGCCTGAAGTAGACAGGACACCAGAAGAACAAAGAGACACTGCCTCAAAGTGGAGGACCCGACTCCAGGAAGCTGTCCTTTGACTTCCACATGCATACAGTCATGCATGCACATCCTGGTGCACACAGACACACATACACAGAGATACAAATACACAGAGACACACATACAAAACAGAGATTTACATACAGACACAGACATACACAGAGATACACAAAGATACACAGAGATACACACACACACAAAACAGATTTACATACAGATACACACAGAGACAGAGACACAGACACACACACAAGAAATAAGTAAATAAAAAATAAAGTAAAAGATAGGACTGAACAAACTTGAGTGACTCCATCCCTAGAGAACGCCATCTATCTCACTGTGTGTTTAGGAGGCAAAAACTAACCTTCTAGCTAAAGTTTGAAAGTCTGAAATTAACTTTTACCATTACTCATGAAGATGTGCATGACACCAGGGTACATACATACACACTGTGTATGGCAATGTAACCACATACACACTGTATATGGCAATGCAACTAAATTAATATATAAGGTGTAAAGTTATGTAGGCGTTCGGAGCACTGAGATGAAGGACACACCTTACAGAAATCCCTAACACACTTAAAAGAATCCAAATGTTATCATCATGTGACATTGGCAGCAGATGGCACAAGACTTCCTATCTTGGTGTTTGTTTTCTAGCATTAGCTAGAGAGTTCTTGGTTGTTCTAAATGTTGCCTAAAAATCAAGGACATAATTAAGAATAATAGAAAACAACTTTTCCTTAACATAGCAAATTGCTCAAGGCAGCAATCCAGCTGGAAGGTAGCCGGTAGAAATATGTTTGATCAAATATGCACCAGGCCCTGGGTTTGATCCCCAGACACCATGGGAAAAAAGTGCCAATCCAAGATGAGTGATAAGTAAAAAATTACGTTCAAAGCAGTATTCACATTTAGTGTTCCATATGCAGGAGAAGACGGGAGGCTGGCGTATGAACAGCTGGACAAATTTCCTCGAGACTGTGTTAAAGTTGGAAGTCGTCACGGAACTGAAGTTGCCACAGCCTTTTAATTTCACTGCCTGACTGCTGTCCTGACACCTGGCCCTGATCATCAGGAGGCTGTGACTTAGCCAGACAGCGTCAGCAACTTAAGAGTTCGGTGGAGACTGTCCTTAGAGATTTCATAGGACCGTCTACTTCCCCTTTAGCCAACAGCACAGGGCTGTGTACAGTTCTCTAGGCTACCCCATGCTTGTGTCTCCCAGAACTCAATGTCCATCTGACTCTAGTATGTATGGAGTTTTAAAATAGCCATCTTTGTACTCTGGGGAAAGTGCTTCTGTAAGCTTGAAATCTTCATGTGCTATTTTGGTCAATATTATAAGCCTTGCAGTTTGTCTGTCATGTTCTCAGGGTTGAGTGGCCCTTTAGCTACCTTATTTCACTTTAAATACAAAGCACAAAAAGAAATGTTTTCAAATAAAAGTTTTCCCACAGAACTTGGCAAAATGACCCGTTATGAGACTAAGCTTCAGAGCTGTGGCTGTGGCTCAGGTGGTAACAGTGCTTGCCTGGCAAGCATGAAGCCCTGGGTTCCTTCTCAGCACGACCTGAGCAAGGTATGCTGCCCAGTGTCTCAGGAAGTGAACAACGTAGGCACAGAACGTCAGGGTCTTCCCAGCTACCGAGTGAGTTCCAGGATAGCCCAGGATACATGAAACCCTATCTTAAAAAGGGAGCGGGAGAAACCACGTTTTGTATTTCGGTTTTTTAAAGCTCCCTCCATGTGTTTTGGTTTTCCATCTCAGGAATTTCCATATCGTCTTTGGTTTAAAAAGTAGGTTGAAAAATAACAGCTTTAGTGCTGGAGAGATGGCTCAGCAGGTAAGAGCACTGGCTGCTCTTGCAGAGAACCTGGGTTCGGTTCCCAGCACCCACATGGAGGTTAACAACTGTCTGTTGACTCCAATTCCAGGGAATCTACTCCCTCTTCTGGCCTCTACAGGCACTACATACATGTGGTATACTTGCATACACACAAAACATTCACCCATAAAATAAAAAACAAAAAACAATGTTTTGAATAACTACTTTACTAAAATTACACCTGTATTTTTTCTCTTTTTGGGGGGGGTCTTTTGGGGACAGGGTCTCCCTGTAGCCCCTGGTCTGATACTATGTAGACCAGGCTGGCCTTGAACTCACAGAGATCCACCTGCTTTTGCCTCCCATGTACTAGGATTAAATGCGTGAACCACCACACCTGGCTTACACCTATATTCTTAAAAGCAAACAAAAACTCAATGCCTAAGCTTTTCTTTAACAAAGAACCATCTCTATCAGTCTCTGGATCTCTGTTGTTTGTCTATTGAAACAAGGTGTCCTATTGTAGTCCCAGCTGGCCTGGAACTAGCTCTGTAAACTAGGCTGGCCTTGAACTTGCAACAGTTCAGCCTCTGCTTCCTGGGTGCTGGGATTTACACCAAGGTACCTCCAGGCCTGGTTCAGCTTGTGGAGTTTGTTGCTGAAACAAAACCCCCAAAGTTGTGGATTCAGAAAGTTGTGCTGCTCTCTGAAGTGGAAACTTGAAATGTTAGAACTCCTACAGAAATAGAGGGGTCTTGAGTATGGTCCCTCTGTCTATAAAACTGGCCATAAGGCTAGGAAACGGGCCTTGGGAGCTGGGGAAGGCCCAGAGGCTATAGTGACAGCAGCAGGTCCGCATCAGGGCGCACTCAGCAGCTCGCTGAGACAAAGGATGTATCGGATGGGTATGCCAAGATGTCATAACAATGTGAGTGTAATCTACACTGTATTCAGGATGTGTTTGTATAAAAAAATCAAATAGATGTTATTTTCAATATTTACATTTTAGTAAAAAGGATTCATTTCATTTCAAAGTGAAAACTGTCAGGCTTCTGGCAAAATCAACTGTGAAGTTCCAATGTACATACTTGTACATTTATAAATATATATGCATATATCCCTCATTTTAAAGGTACATTGTACAGTCTATAATTAGTATGTATAGTCTTTAGTCTTTATTAAATGCCTGAAACGTCTCTATAGAAAGTCAAATCACAAATATTCAAGGGTTTTTCTTTGGCTTGTTTGGAGATCTGACGTTCCTGTGACTACTGCATGGATACGTAACTCCGTGTCTTGTATTCTCTTCTGCGGTTTGTTTTTGGTCGTGGCAGTGCTTTTAGTTTCATGGGATTTGTATTCATTACTCTTTCAATCATGTAAGTCAAAATAAAAATTATTTTTTAATTACTAGTCTAACGTAAAGTCTAATTATTTAGTCTTTTTTTCTTAAAATATTTTATTACTTTTATTGTATGTGAATGAGTGCATTGCCTGGATGTGTATAAGTGCACCCGTGTCATGCAATGCTCTCAGAGGTGAGAAGAGGGTGTTGGATCCCCTGGAACTTGAGTTAAGACAGTTGTTAGTCGCCATGTGGGAGCTGGGAATTGAACCCAGGTCCTTTGCAAGAAGCAGCCAGTGTTCTGAAGTGCTTGGCCATCTTTCCAGCCCCAGCTTTTTATGTGGTATGTGTGTGCAGAGTGGATGGGGGCATGTACGTACAGTGCACCCATGGACATCAGAGTCCGTTCTCTTCTCCCACTTAGACATGGGTTCTGGGATTCTGCTCAGATGGTCAGGCCTGCGCAAGAACCCACAGGGACCTCCCAGCCCATCTGGTCTATGGCTTCCCATCCTGGCAGAGGTGGAGTTACACGACCCAGTGGTCCTCTCCTGTCCACTTGAGTCTACTGTCCTGGTGTGAGGATCCTAAGTGGAGAATTCTGTGATAACTTGACATGCATGTAGGCCAGAACACACAGGAGAAAATCAAGGAGAGGCATCCATTAAACCACATCTTAGGCAACCCAGCCCCACCCCCACCCCCACCCTGCCCTGAAGGAAGTCCAAGACAAGCTGGCACCTCCTGCTCCTGAAAGCAGACAGCCCAGAAGTAGCAAAGCTTCTTTAATTGCAAATGGCCTAGCCAGGGCTTTGCCCACTTCATGCTGTCCTGACCCTCTCAGGTGCCCAGTGCAGGTTCGTAGCAAACCCTTGATGTTGTCTCTCCTCCCAATTTTAAGTGATTCATTCACTTATTCATTCGCTTACCTGTCTGAGTGTATACACATATGAGAACCAAGCTTTATCCTGGTGCACTCAGAGAAGCCAGAAGAGAGTGTCGGGGCTGGAGAGATGCTCAGTGGTCAAGAGTACTGACTTCTCTTGCAGAGGACCTGGGTTTAATTCCCAGCACCCACACGGTGGCTAACAACTGTCTGTAACTCCAGTTCCAGGGGATCCAATGCCCTCTTCTGACCTCCAAGGGCACTGCACGACACAGAGGCACTTACACACACGCAGGCAATACGCTCCTACACACAATTTTTTTTTTTTAATTAAAAAAAGGAGGGTGTCAGACGTCCTCTACCACCCTTTTCCTATTCCTCTGAAGTAGGTTAGGGTTAGTGGTGAGTCTAGAATTCAAGTGAGAATCCTGTTAAAAATATGTGAGCCCGTGGTACCGCATGCCTTTAATCCCAGCACTCAAGAAGCAGAGGCAGGTGGATCTCTGAGCTCAAGGCCAACAAGCACCAGTCATTCTAGCTCCAGGGGGATCCAATGCCTCCAGCCTCTGCAGTAACCCACACACGTGTACTCACACACTGACACACACATAACTAAAAATAAATCTTTTTTTAAGAGTTGAAGATTATCTTCAGCTACACAGTAAGTTTGAGGCAGCCTGAGTTACATGAGATGGATCAGTAGTTCAAGTCCAGACAGAGATAATAGTGAAACCAACCTGAGCTACGTTTTAAAACCTGACGTAAAAAGAAAAACTACAAGAAACAGAAAGGCTGAACGAGCTCTCGGTGGGAGGCAAAGAGAAGGCAGTGGGCTGCGGGCAATGGAGGCCAGGAATGAAAGAAAATAACCGGAGAAGCTAGGACAAAGCCAGGCGGGTGGTGCACACCTTTACTCCAGCAGAGGCAGGCGGTTCTGGATCAGGTCCAGGCCAGCCTGGTCGACAGAGTGAGTTCCAGGCCAGCTGGGGTACAGGGACACCCTGTCTCAAAAAGACAAAATTTTTTTTAAAAGAAGCTAGGCAAAGTGTTCAGGGAGAAAGCAAGGCCAAACACCCAGCCCAGCGTCTGGGCATCGGACTCAATCATCAGAGACCCCGAGGGGCGACTTCAGAGCCAAAATTCCAGCCTGAATCAGTCACCAGGGGGTGGAGAGCAGACTGCAAGGGAGAGCAAAGCGGTGCTTTCCAGAGGAAAGAGCCGAGGACTGCAGCACTGGCGGGATGTGAGGTCAAAGGAGTTTTCTGTGTGTTGAGACAGGGTCTTGCTATGTAGCCCGGGTTGGCTTCCGACCCAAAGGCTTCCCACCTCAGCCTCCCAAGTGCTCGATGAGCTCCAAAAGGCTTTTACTGAGGAAGAAGAAAGGCAGAGCATGTTGGTGTGCGTATTTCCAAGGTCCAGTTGCAGCGGAAATTCTACTGAGACTGAGGAAGAACTGAAGACCAGTGTCCTTGAGAGGGGCGGCAAGAGTGAGCTGACAGCCTCAAACCGGACCTGCTAGGACCAGGGAGAAAATACCAGGGCAGAGACAGGTGGGGGTAGACCCGGACGACAGGCCCCATTTCCTGCTGCCTCTCAGAACAGGGTAAGCCTAAGATGCAAAGAACTCTAGTAACAGGCTGCAGGGAAGGGTCTGCGGTTAAAGCACTGGCTGCCCTTCCAGAGGATCGAGGCTCGATTTCCAGCACCCACAAGGCAGCTAACCACCGTCCTTTACTCCAGTTCCAGGGGATCCAACACCCTCTTCTGCCCACCACACACACATGGTGTGCTTACATACATGCAGGCAATACACTGCATATAAAATAAAAAATAAAATATTTTCTAAAAAATTAACAAACAAGCACGGGAGAGAAAACGCAATGGTAGCTCAAGGGCGGGCAGAAGGCAGGGCAGACCTCCCCAGAGACAGAGCGGTCGGCCTGCGTAAGGCTCGGGAAGGCAGGAGCGGCCGGGACCGGAAACAGCAGAAGCTAAGGCTTCGCTTCCGCAGAGAAGCCCAAGTCCACTGCTCCACCCAGTTCTAGAAGGCACCCCACTAGCAGGCCCAGCATTCCATCCTGCCCGCTGCTAGGCGCTGAGTTCCAGAGCTGCTTCTGGCTGGGAGCTCCTGGCCTAGTCGGCAGCAGTGGGGCCTCCAGCAAGATGATGAGGATCAAGGCTTTCTGTACGCAAATCTGGAGTCGGGCACACCATAACCTCGTGAAGCTGTCTCTGCGCCTGCAGAAATTCTGGAATGTCACCGTGAAGGGCTATTTCGTTAAACAGGAGGAGGAGGACGAGGACATCATCCCTACAGCCGAGTGCATTTTTCACAAAGAAAAAATCCTGGTACTTGGCTACGTGCTGAAGAACACAAGTCTACCCGCTGAAAAGAGAGCCCAGGCCGCCCACAAAATCGGACTGCTGTCCTTCACAGGTAAGAGCAGCTGCTCCCACCTACCTGCCTGTCAGAACGCTGTACTTAGTGATTTCTTACCCTAGTCTTAAAGACCAGGACAGCCCCTCTGACTGACTGAATTACTGGTTGTTTTTCTATTAAAAACAGAAGGGGCCGGGCATGGTGGCACACACCTTTAATCCCAGAACTAGGGAGGCAGAGGCAAGAGGATCTCTGTGAATTCAAGCCCAGCCTGGTCTTCATAGTGAGCTAAAGGCCAGCTGGGGCTACAGGGAGACCCTATCTCAAAAAGAACAAAAAAAAACACAAGTATTTTCTTTCAAGGTCTCATGCTTTGAAAGAAAGTGCCCATCAATTAAATTACTAATTAGATGTTTTTCCTTTTTTAAAAATATTTTATTATTTTTATCTTATGTGTACGAGTGTATTGTCCACATGTAAGTGCACCCGTGTCGTGCAATGTGGAAGAGGTCACAAGACAGCTTCAGATTCCCCTGGAACTGGAGTTAGGGAAGGTTGTTAGCTGCCATGTGGGTGCTGGGAATCGAACCTGTGTCCTCTGCAAGAGCAGCCAGTGCTCTTAACCACTAAGCCCTCTCTCCAGCACCAAGGACCAAATCTTTCAAAGAACAATGTCCTTGAGTGAAGATGTAGGCGTTCTAGATGCGACCACATGGAGACGGGAACTTCAGGAACAGCCTGCCCTGCTTCCCAAAGTAGACAGTGTCCACCCCATGAGGCAGGCTCAGCTCCCAGGGGCACTGTGGTCACTTGCTGGAGGAAGAGTTGGCTAGCTGCACGAGGACCGAATGCTTTAGTCTGGTGTCAGACCACGGGAAGGGCTGATGCCTGGCTTCCACTAAAGCTTTAAGGCCGCACATTGACCATTCTGGGACCAGTATAGCGCAAGTTAGAGAAATGCATAAAGATCAGAGCTCCAGGGCTAGAACCTAACCCCATAGGGCAGTTTGCCTCTCCAGCCAAGTGCTCCTCATGTCCTAGGTACCAGCACCTTGTTGGCATTTGAAATTGAACTGGGAGAGAAAGCAGATCTAGACCCAGACTGGGTCAGTAGCCAAAGGAAAGAAAACTCTCAGGTCTGAAAACCAGAGGGAGACGGGCCAAGCAAACACAGCCAGCTTAGACCCCCTTGACAAGTCAAGCCTTGGGCCAGCCGACAGGACAGAACAGGGGAGCCTTAGGCAGGTCAGACGATGGGACAGAACAGAGAACCTTGGGCAGACAGCACACTTCCTGAACTCTTCACAGGACACCCCCATCACACTCTCACAGCAACCTGGGGAAAAAGACCAAACTCTTCCAAAATGTCCCCCTAAATGTCAATTGGCATAGGAACCCCAACACCTGGGGATATAAGGAGACCGTGTTCAATCCTCAGCACCAAACAAGATAAAACAACGAAGATGAATGCTGGAGGGCTCGGTCAGTGAAGTGCTCACTTAGCCAGGGCAAGAACACGAGTCTGACCCCAGAACCCACATGAGAAGGTGTGCGCTGTACAGACTTGAAATCTCAGCACCAGGGAGGGGGACAGGTAGGTCCCTGGGGTTCACCAGTCAGTCAGACGGGCCTACTTGGCGAGTTCCAGGCCTGAGACTATGTCTCAGAAATTTAAAAAGTGGATGTCTAAGGCTGTTCTTTAACCACCTCATGCATGTATGTACCTATGTACATACATACATACACAGAAGCACACCCATGTGAGCACACACACACACATACTCTGCAACTACAGCATGAATGCACAGGGCGTCTGAAATGTTACTAGCCGCTCTACTCTGAACTCTGGGAACACGAACGCCTGTTTTGCAGGAGGGATGACGGCTTCCCAGTTCGCCGCAGAGTACATGAAGGACGTGTACTCCTTGCTGCAGAATGAAAAGACGATGTCGCACAGCACCAAGATCCTGCTGCTCCAGAGCCTGGCATGTTGGTGCTACTTAAACCCCGCCAGCCAGAGAAAGGCCAAAGAAATGCAGTTTATCCCTCTGCTAATTGAATTCTTTGAGAATTCCATCCAGGCTACCACCAGAAGTGAGATCAACAGCCACCGCCTGGTTCAGTTCTGGATTTGCTACACCCTCTCGGCCATGACATGTAACAACTTGGCCATCATGAGGGAGCTGAAATCCTACAGCACTCTGAAATACCACTTGCAAATCTTGGCTATGGAGAACTGGTCTGGATGGCCTGAGAATTTTGCTGAGGTGCTGTATTTCCTGATCGGTTTTCACAGGAACTAGCGTCTCTCAATGCACTGTGAGCCAGCTCTCAGTGCTACTGTAGTATCCCGAAAAGCTAAATAAAAGTGTATTTTTCTCCTATGATTTTTTTTTAGAATATTTTTATTATTCCAAAGAGAGGCAATTTTTAGCACATTTTTCCAGAAATAACTTGAAGGTTACATAAAAATATTTATACAATGAAGTTTAAGGGGGAAAACAGGAATAAGAAATCAAAGACCCATGGATTTGCCAACATGGGATAAACTTTGGTAGAATAATGAAGGCTTCCATTAGTGGTTTTTTTGGAAAATCCTAATGATTTTATTGGGCTTGTTAACAGAGCAGGGTGGGGGTTTATTTACAGAAGGGTGGGCACCCCCCCTGGGCACCCCCCCCCTCATTTTCGGCTACGCTGGATCATACACACTCAAATATAGATCCTGTGACTTCCCGACAGCCACACAAAATGGCAAGAGGTGCCTCCTGGAATTCTTGGCTTGTATATCCTTAGCCCCTCCTGCACATGCAATAAGGTTGACTGTTTGGGTGGGAGGGGTAACTGACTCCCCCCACAACTCCTTGATGAGCATGGAAAGGAAGTATGACTATAGCTTGCTGGCACACTTCCACGTAACACTCCACCCCTTCCTCTGACTCTTACGTTCTTTCCGCCAGCGTCTTCCACAAAAGTCCCTGAGCCTTGGAGGAGGTGGTAGGTGTGGGATGATCTTCCTCCCATTGTGGCAAGGCACTGAACTTTCAGGTCTCTGCATCATCTGTTTTCCATGGGCTGTTGGCCCATTTCAGTGGGATTCCATCTATTATAAAGATTTGGTGCTAGGATCCACAGATGATGAAGAACATGTCTTTTGTTTTTTCTGAGTCTGTGTTATTCACTTAGTATAGTTTCTAGATCCATCTATTTACTGAAAAATTTATGATTTCATCTTTCTTTACTCCTGAGTAGAACTCCAGTGTAAATATACCACATTTTCATTAACCACTCATCAGTTGAGGGGCACTTAGGTTGCTTCCATCTGTTGTGAAAATAGCTTCCAGCTATTGTGAAAAGAGGAGCAACAAACATGGATGTACAAATGTCTCTGCAATAGGATGAGTCCTTTGGGTATATGCCAAGGAGTGGTAAAACCAGATCATACGGTACGTTCATTTTTAGTTTTTTAAGAGTTCTCCACACTGTCTTCCATAGGGGTTGAACGAGTTTGCAATCCCACCAGCAGTGAATGAGCGTTCCCCTTTCTCCACATCCTCACCAGCATTTGGTATCATTTGACAAAAACCACATTGTCATCTCAATAGATGCAGAAAAGGTTTTTGACAAAATTCAGCATGCGTTCATGATAAAAGTTCCTAAGGGAATTGGACTAGAGGGAACATGTCTCAACATAATTAAAGCTATATACAACAAACCCACAGCCAACATCATTCTAAATGGAGAAAGACTGGAAGCATTCCCACTAAAATCAGGAACCAGACAAGGACGTCCACTGTCTCCACTCCTTTTCAATAGAGTACTTGAAACTCTTGCTAGAGCAGTAAGACAAGAGAAGGAAATTAAAGGAGCACTAATTGGAAAAGAGATCAAATTATCCCTTTTTGCAGATGATATGATACTATACTTAAGAGATACCAAGTTTGACCAGAAAACTCCTAGAACTGATCAACACTTTCAGTATAGTAGCAGGTTATAAAATCAATCTACACAAACCAGTAGCCTTTCTATATACCAATAACAAGCAACTGGAGAAAGAATACAGGGAAATGCTCCCATTCACAATAGTCACAAAGAAAATAAAATATCTTGAAATAAACCTGACCAAAGACACCAAAGATCTCTACAATGAAAATTTCAAATCTTTAAAGAAAGAGATTGAGAAGACATCAGAAGATGGAAGGACCTCCCATGTTCATGGATTGGAAGAATTAATATTGTTAAAATGACCATCTTACCAGAAGCTATTTATAGAGTCAATGCAATGCTAACCAAAATCCCCATGACATACTTCACAGAATTAGAAAAAAAATTCTTAAACTCGTATGGAAACATAAAAGACCCCAGCTAGCCAAAGCAACCCTGAGCACTAAGAGCAATGCTGGGGGGATTACGATAACAGATCTCAAAGTATACTACAGAGCCATAATCATAAAAACAGTGTGGTACTGGCACAAAAACAGACATAGATCAATGGAACATCATTGAAGACCCAAACCCAAGTACATGCAATTTCAGGCACCTGATATTTGACAAAGGTGCCAAGAACACACAATGGAGGAAAGACAGCATCTTCAACAAATGGTGCTGGCAAAACTGGATCTCCACCTGTAGAAGAATGAAACTAGATCCTTATCTTTCGCCTTGCAGAAAAGTCAACTCCAAATGGATCAAAGACCTCAATGTGAAACTGGAAACCCTGAAACTACTAGAAGAAATCATTGTCAGTAGCTTACAAGATATAGATGTAGGAAAGGATTTTCTAAATTGGAGAGCAGTCGCTCAAGAATTAAGGTCAACAATCAGTAAGTGGGACCTCATTAAACTAAAAAGCTTCTGTACAGCAAAAGAAACAATCAAGGAAGAGAAAACCCATAGAGTAGGAAAAAATCTTCACCAGTGACACATCTGACAGAGGTTTAACATCCAGAATATATAAAGAACTCAAAAAACAAAGAAGTAAGAAACCAAATGACCCAATTAAAAGATGGGCTAAAGATCTAAACAGAGAGTTCTCAAAGGAAGAAGCAGCAACTTTTGCTGTTTTTGTTTTTGAGACAGGGTCTCCCTGTAGCCCCAGCTGACCTGGAACTCACTATGTAGACCAGGCTGGCCTTGAACTCACAAAAGCTCGGCCTGCCTCTGCCTCCCAGGTGCTGGAATTAAAGGCGTGTACCACCAAGCCAGGCTTTCCTATGCTTTCTGTCTTGAAAAGTTCTACATAAGATACTCGGGGGAGCTCTTTGAGGCTAGCCTGGTCAACATAGTGAGTTCCAGGCAGCCAGGGCTATATAATAAGATCCTTTCTCAAAAAAAAAGTTTGCCAGGTGAGGTAGGCATGCCTTTAGTCCCAGTACTCCGGAGGCAGAGGAAGGTGGATCTCTATGTGATCAAGGCCAGCCTGGTCTACATAGTGAGTTCCAGGCTAGCTAGGGCTACAGGGAGACCCTGTCTCAAAAAAAAAAAAATTAAAATTAAATAAGAACAAAAGTTGCATGGATAGCCCAGGGAAATGGCTCAGTGGGTGAGAAGCAGTGGCTGTGCGGCGTGAGGAACAAAGTACGGCTGACTCCCTGGAACCCGCCGAAATGAGGCGAGAGTGGGCAGCCTGCCTGCAAGCCCAGCATCTGGGTGGGGCCGACAGAGCTGTGGGTTCAGTGAAACCTTGCTTCACTGTGTACGGCCGAGAGCAAGCTAGGAAAGAAAGGGGGGATGGAGAGGGAGCGAGGGAGAGAGGGAGAGAGAGGGAAAGAGGAAGACAGAGGGAGAGAGGGAGAGAGGGAAACAGAGGGAGAGAGGGAGAGGGTGAGACGGGGAAAGAGGGAGGGAGAAAAAGGAGAGAGGGAGGGAGACAGGAGAAGAAACAGACAAAAGTTAAAGCAATTAGACATGATGGGCCGTGTGCTGGCGTAGAACTGCAGAGGTCCAAGGCTACATGAAGGTCAGTAATTATCACCAATGTCTACATTAAACTATGAAAATAATCTTCTCAATATTTCATTCACTTTTATGTGTACGAGTATATTGCCATCATGTATGTAAGTGCACCCATATCATGCAATGCCCATGGAGGTCAGAAGTGGGTGTCGGATCCCCGTAACTGGAGTCACAGACAGTTGTGGGTTCTGGAAGTGAACCCAGGTCCTGTACGGGAACAGTCAGTGCTCTTACCCATTGAGCCATCTCTCCAGTACCGAAAATTAGTTTCTAATAAAAATCTACTTGAAGCTGACTCAGAACAATTATATAACAACTATTTCATTATAATTCCTCACTGAGAAATCATGTGACCTGAGCTCTCATAGTGCCACATGCTTGCCAGGAATGCTGGTGCCCCAGTACGCTCAGCACTTGGGAGGTTTAAGCAGGGGATCGGGAGTCAATGTCATCCTCAACTTAGTACTAAATGAGGCCAACCCAGGCTACCTAGACCCTATCTCAAAACCGGCAAAATCACATGTGCCTGTGGTAATATAATGAAAATTTTTTAATTAAAAAGTAAGTTCAGGGCTGGAGAGATGGCTCAGCGGTTAAGAACACTGACTGCTCTTGCAGAAGACCTGGTTTTAAATCCCAGCACCCACATGACAGCTAAGAACTGTCCATAACTCCAGTTCTAGGGGATCCAACAGCCTCTTCTGTCCACGGGCATTGCTTGACATGGGTGCACTTACCTACGTGCAGGCAATACACGCATACACATAAAATAAAAATAATGAACCCAAGTTCCCAAGTTCCAGCCGTGCCCCCCCCACACCCCCACCTACTACTGTGTTACCACACTTCTTATTTACCATCTCTCAATATATTGGACTGTTGGCTGGAGGCTTCTTGGAACCCGGCACCCCCTGGCTTCCATTTTGGCCTTGCACACTGCTAACAAGTACTCTGGGGTCCCCTTCAACATCCTGGTACCCAGCACCCTCTCCTGAAAGACCACCCAGGTACCCAGCACTCTCGTGAAGGACCCTACTTCCTGAATACTCTCCTGCTTTTTCATGCCCAGTTCTTCTCACCTGATTGGTAGATCTGAGGGATTTTTGCAGGGCTGGGAATTGAACACAGGGCCTTCTACATGCTAGTCAGACGCTGTTATCACCGAGCTACATGCCCAACCCTTAACTGGTGACTAAACCAAGAGGACAGCAGAAAGCGCCAACACCCGTGCAAGGCCTGACTCCCAGGAGGGAGGAAGGCAACGATGACAGGTCAAACACCGAATTTACGCCTCTGAGGTTGCCAGTCACACCATGAGCCTCCGGGCTACCGAAACCAGGAGCAGGAAGTTGCTGGCACGTCCCGCTCCTGAAAGAAAACACAAGATACAGAACAGCAGATGTGCAACCAATTAAAAATCGAAAACTGGAGCCGGGCATGGTGGCGCACACCTGTAGTCCCAGCACTTGGGAGGCAGAGGCAAGCAGATCTCTGAGTTCGAAGCCAGCCTGGTCTGAGTAATGAATCTCAGGCCAGCTGGGGCTACAGAGAGACCCTATTTTAAAACAAAACGAACAAAAATTTCTAAAACTGGGGGCTAGAAAGACAGCTCAGCTAAGGGCACTTGCTGCTCCTGCAGAAAACCAGAGTTCAGTCTCCAGCAAGCTCCAGAGAATCCAACGCCCTCTTATGGCCTCCTCAGGCGCTTGCAAGCACATGACACGTTGTCTCTCACACACACGCATACACATGCATACACACAATATTAATAATCTTCTAAATTATTAGCATAAAACTTAGTGGGGTGGGGCTTAGTGGAAGAGTCTTTGCCTAGTATACGTCAGGCCCTGGGCTCAATCTTCAACACTGAAAAAGAGTAAAAACTACTGAAAGATGGGGCTGGAGAGATGGGGCTCAGGGGTTCAGAGCAATGACAGCTCTTTCAGATGACCCGGGTTGGATTCCCAGTACCCACATGGCAGCTAATAACCATCTGTAACTCCAGTTCCAGGGGATGAGAAGCTGCCTTCTGACCTCTGTGGGCATTGCACAACATGGGTGCATTTACACACATGAAAGCAATACACTCATACACATATAATAAAAAATAAATATATATAAAAAAACTACTGAAGAGCTGGGCATGTCAGCACATGTTTTAGTCCCAGCACTGGGGAGGCAGAGACAGGCAGATCTCTGTGAGTTCAAGGCCAGCCTGGTCTATATAGCAAGTTCCAGGTCAGCTGGGGCTACAGGGAGGAGACTCTGTCTCAAAAAGACCAAAAAAAGTTTGAAAATGTTTCAACTATACTAGGAGGTACAGTCCATGGTTTTAACAGTAGTTTCATTTTTTTGTGGATGTTAAAGTGCCCATTCAACTTGTTTTGAATACTATTTTAGTAACTTTGACTCATTTAAATGGCAGGCCCCCTCCCCCTTTATTTGTTTCTACATTGGCAGAATTAAAATGTCAGGTA